CTATATATCTATCTATAGTCTGTTTATACAGTGCAGATTTTGAAAGTCTGGCTGGTATGACAGGTTCTTCAGAAAGAAGGAAATCTTGAAGCAAAGAAAATCTTTTCTCAGGCATTCATCTACAGGGATTCACCACAAGTCACATAACTGTTAATATATTGATGATGACTGACTGTGGAAGTGTTGTACACAGACATCAACTCTCAAAATGCTTGTGATTTAGAGACCTGGAGGTGCTGCTTTTGTAAATTTCACATAGTTCAGTGCCAAAACAAGAGAAAGTGTGAAAAATTATAGGCAGAGCTCCTAAACAATTTGTATCAATAGCCCGTACTGAAGAAAGCTTTGTCAATGTCCAGGACTTCTTTCTCTACTTCTGTAAAACATGGTACAGATGGAACTGTCTAATCTGACTTTTAGTCACAATATTTAGCTACCTGGAAGATAAAGTATAGTGTAACACCATACATTTCTGCTCTTCCAGTCTATCTTAGCTTTGGAATTTTGAGCCATTGAAAGTAGATGACATACTCAATTGTTATCAAGTAAATTTTTTCCTGTTGTTTGATCACTTTTGACAGCAAAAGAAATGTAAAAAGACTAAACATGCACTGCAGAATTAGCCTGTGAAAGTTAATCATTATTGCAGTGTATGCAATGCATAAAATGTAAATTAGCTCATAGAAGTTTCTGAATTTTAATGCTTTTCAGATAAGATCAGCAAAAGTTCTGGTGATGTCACATTTCTATAGTACCTTTCAGAACTTCACACATTTTACTTTTTTTAAAAAAGGGACTCTGTTATCCTGCTGTAAACAGGAGTTTTAGGGGAAAGGAATAACATCTCAGTTTGTTTCAATCTTAGCTTCAAATGTTCATAGGTCAGAATTTCTTCTTGTGTAAATCAGTATATTTTCATGGACTTAAGTGGAGCCATGCCAAGTTATAGCAGCAGATGAATCCAGTCTTTTTTTTGTTTTCTATCACAACTGATATATTCTTCTAAAGGTTATTTTAGTCTCAACACTGAGCAAACTGTAGAGATTGTGCAACTCTTTTCCAGACTTCAGAAGAAAAGAGTTTTTGCAGCAGGGTGACAGTGCAAACCACTTCGTGTCCTTGTCAATATGGACATACTTTCTGTTTGAAGAACTTATCCAATATTTTGTAAAGTCAGAAGAAAGCACTGTTATAACTGACTCCAACTTTCTGCATATAGAGATCATCACAAGTTCTGGGCTCAATTCTTGTGGGAAATACAGCAATTTTTTAGGAAAACATCCAGTTGGAATTTATCCATGGTTGGTATTGCTAGAACTTTTCAGTTCATCCTGGTTTATACATGTATATTTCTGTTATACATTTGCTTACCTCTTTCTAATCTCATTCTTACTGTGAATATGTTTAGTTTTAATTTTCATCTGAGAGCCTGAAGTGTTTCTTTCTGAAGTCTTGTTCCCCACATAGGTACTTCCAGCTTACAGCCAATTCACTACTACGAGCATCTCTTTGATAAACTTGGTCTACCACAGTTAGATTGAGCTCCAAGAGTGTCTTCTCTCCAGAAGAGAGCAAAAGAGTAATGTAATCTCTGGGACAGTTCAGTGAGCAACATTTATAATGAACTCATCTTTGAGAATACAGATGAAGAGCTAAGTGTATTCTCTCATTTTTCAGAGGCTACCAAGCTACTTTCAGAGAGTAATGACTAATGGTCACTCACCTTCTGAGGTAGCTGCTGAGCTGGATAAGAAGGCATTTGTTATCCATCACCTCAGGTACCAACCACACCTCCTGAAAAAAAATAATTCAGGACCTTATCTTTCACTACTGAAATTAGTCAGAGTTTGCCTATGGCTTCACTAGTGACAGAGAAGTCTCATAAAATGGAATTCATCTCACCCAGCTTTAAATGTCAAAATCTGATCCACTTCTCGAGTACTTTTTATAACCAGGAAAACATCAATAGGCACTTCTGTGGCGTAGCCCTCTTATCCTAAATTTTACAGTTGAATATCATCTAGTGCAAGGGTATCAGATATGAATACAGGAGGCCTCCTGGACGCTCAGAGATGGAATGTGTTTAACATAAGGGAATGAAAACTCAGGTGATGTGCTTCAGGGAGGGTCCCACAGGAGTATGGTGTGAACAGAGTAAAGAAAACAGGAGTCCGGAGTCAATCTGCAGGAAGTGTGGAACCAGAAAGAAATCAAACAAAGGTAAAGGAGTTTTTGAAAACATTTGAAAGGTAAAGACACCAGCAGAACCCAGAGGTGGAACTGCATAGAGGTGGGCTGGTTTTGCTGTTGCTCCCTCACCCTTTGGAGAAAAAGAACTTCAGAACTGGTGTAGTCTGTAAAAATAAAATCCAAAGAGCCTAGACAACCCACATCTGTTTCTTAGCTGGGAAAGATGTTATCTGGAAGGTTTTGCCACTGTAAGTTCTCTGAAAAGGAAAAGATTCTCCTTGAAGAGGCTCTTGTAGTGTTTATAGTGCACCCATAAAAGTGTAGTTTGTATTTGAACTTGTAACTACTTCAAGAGTCATTGCAATTTGATTACTGTTTATGTGTGATTTTTTCTCTTTCTCTCCATACACACAGATTTTTAAAAGCATATGTATATATTAAAAGACTAAGCTGCTACCATCACAGAGGTAGCATACCAAAAAAGAAAAAAAAATCAGAATTTAATAATAGCATTTCCCATCCTTTTATGCTACTGTATATAAAATCTATAAAGTCTAAGCAGGTTTAAGGGAGGATTACTGCATACAGATAATTCAAAACAATCTGAAAAGACTTTTTTTTTTTTTTTCTAGATTAAAAATAAAGTAATAAAGATTACAATATAATCCTGGCAGCAGATTTTACATCTACATCCAAAGGAGGTGCAGGTTTATTAAAGAACAGTGCAATGTCTTAAAATGTGAACCAAACCTTCTACCGAGCTGTACCGCAGACTCCGCTGCTGCAATCAATACTCCAAACAGCCCTATTTTTCTTGGACAAAAAAACATACATATATCTGACATTTGAGGAAGCCAGGTGAATAAATCAATAGCTAAACAAAAATGCACTTAATCATATCTATTGTGGACAGATGCAGATGGGAAAATCCTATATGGTCCACATATATCCTTCTGCTTAAAGGTTAGAAATGAAACTGTGTTTCCTAAAGGGCAATGTCCTGTTGTTACAGAGTGGTGCTGAAGCTAGAATGATTACAGTAGTAATTACCTGCGTGCCACCCAGCATGGGGCAGATCTCTCCCTGCAACAAGTTCAGATGTAGTTTGTTGTTCACGTACTTCAGCATAAATGCATGACTTAATAGCCAACACTTTATGTCCTTTATAAGGGTAATAGCTTTACTGGAGTAGGTAGGAAGAATTCACATGTACACTGTAATCCTAAATTGACTGAACTGCATGTTCTTACATAGAGTCAGCCCAAGGATGAATTTGATATACGCACACTTTATATTTCCTTAATGGTTTTAAGTGATGACCACTACAGGACATTTCTCATGCCATTGCAGGTGATCATTAAACATACATAATAGCCCTATTAAATGTTTATGGATAACTCCAGTGTCTCGGCCAAAAAAAAAAAATCTATGTCCGAAGGTACATTTGTGCACAGAATGGCTGCTTTGCTTAAAGGTGTCCCTTTACTTGACATTACTTCGTAAAGCCCTTTGAGATAACCATGGTGCGAGAGATGTTTTAGAAAAACACAATTTTATTTCTTCTCTGCTTTAGCCCTAAGCAGTTCAGTGTTATTTGAACATCAGGAACAGCACTTCTTTACAACTTCAAAGTCAGATTCTAATCTCAAATTGGCAGTACGCCTCGAGATTAAAAAAATCTGCCCACAACTGGAAGAAATGGATGTTTTCAGCAGAGAGAAGTGCAATAGGAAGTAACAACATGACACTCCAATATCACTCAATTAGGAGGTATATTAAGGTTACGCGAAGGTGCCTGATGAGAATGCTCTTGCAGGAAACATTTTGAACTCTGAGAAAAGCACTAGGAGAAGGATGACACCATTAAGCTCGGGAGCAGCTCTGAAGCTGTTATTAACCTGGGGGAAGGGGGAGATCCCTCCCGGCTGACCTTCTGAGTGTAAACCTCCGTGTCAGGCATTCAGAAACCACGAAGCCCAGGTGACGTCTCCTATTTTCAAAATGCAGTCCTGCAAAGAGGAAAATGCAAATAGATGTCTGGGATCTTTTATTGCCTACCAGTTGTGGCTACTGTCTCTTCAGGAACACAGCAAGGGATTTCTTCTCAGTGAGAAAGGAGAGCATCTCCGTGGTGGAGCCAGCCTAAGCCATGGAAACCGCGCAGCACCTACAGATGTTTGGGGTCCTGCTGGTGCAGGCAGCAGCTTGGGGTGGGTTCAATAGGGTTTCTCAGTGAATTCACATTCACACTGTCCCTGTTCACTTGGAGGACAGCAGGGATCCCTCTATGTGTGTTTGGGATGATCATTTCAGAGTGTGACCAACTCCATGCCGCAACAAGTACTTCCCTCCTAATACTATGAAAGTACCTGCTGCTCTAATTCCACTTTTTTTTTTCCACACTCCCCTATTTAATGAACAGACAAACGCACTTGTGATAAGCCTTTTACTGCAACACCAGACAGAGACATCTCCTCAGGAACAGACGATGATTTTGCGCCAGCCTTTCCAGCCGGCTGCTATGCACCTGTCCCGTAGGACCAGACGCAGTGGGGGTCCTATGGGAGGATAATAGAGGGACCGGTGGGGGACCAGGGGTCCGGTGGGGGACCGGTGGGGGTCCCTTCACCCTCTTCTACCGAGAAAAGCCACCGAGGGGCTCCCCTGGCCGGTGCCCGCCCGGGGAAGGCAGCGCTGAGGCGGCGGCCGCCCGCCCTCACCTCAGGGCTCGCCTCAGGGGCGCCGCGCCATGAGGGGAGCGGGGACGAAGCTGGGGGGACAGCGGGAGCCTCGGCGGGCGGCAGAGGGCGCCCCGAATTCCGCCAGAGAGGGGCCGGGAGGAGCCTCCGGCTCGGCTCGGCCGAGGAGGGAGGGAGGAAAGGAGGAGAAGGAGGAGGAGGAGGAGGAGGAGGAGGGAGCTGCCACGTCCTCTGCGCCGAGCGGCGCCAGCCCCGCGCCTCACTCAGCCCCACGTGTGGCGGAGCGGGGGAAGTTGCGGCGGGGAGCCCGGACTCTGCCCCTCGCTGGCCGCCTGTCCCTGCTCTCAGGAGGGCGCAGCTCCGAGTAAGGACTCGCGGCTGTCCCGGGGAGGAGGTGGAGGGGAGGGAAGGGAGAGCTGAGTGGGGAGCGGTCGGGGCTCCGGGAGCCCGCTCCGGGATCCTCCCGGGGGGAGTCGCTGAGCTGAGGGGCTCCGGGCCGGTTGGCTTGCCGAGGACTTCCAGGGGGGCTCCGAGTGCTCCAGGGAGGTTAAAAGCGGAAAGTTTTGAAGTGAGGGGAAGCAGGGAGCCGGCCCCGGGAAGGAGGGACCCGGCTGTGAGGCGCCGGGGACGGCCCGGCCCCGCCGGGGTTGAACGGCGACCCTGCTGGAGGGGGGATCCGTGAGGAAAATAACTCTTGGAAATGTGGAAAAAAACTCCTCAAAAGGCTCGAAACTTCCGCATCTGGAGTCTATTTCTTTAATTTCGCTTCCTCATTCGCGAGCGTGTGTGAGGAAGGACCAAGACCTGTGTTTAAGCAGCCGGCCGAGAGGGGAAGTAAGCTCGGGAAAGCATTAAAAGGTGACCCAGGGGAAAGAAAAATACGATAATCCCTTCTGAATGCAAATATGCTGCTTTTACCCCTTCCTTAAGCGCATTGGATTCATTTGTTCGTGTGTTGTCCCTGCCGTGTGCTGCCGTGAGTTCAATTTGTAGCCTTTTTCGGGTCTCTGTACAGTTGGGTACCTTAAAAAACAATTTACTTTCCGCTGTGTTTCTAAAGCCGTTATGCTTCACACCTTTTAAGACGGTAGGGAAAATAAATGTTGTCATGGTATGGAGATTTCCATATTTCCATTCCGTGGTCCTGCCCCAAATTTGTGTCAGGTTTTTGTGGGCTCGAGCAGTGCCCTGGCTGCGCTGGGGCCTCCTGGGGATTTTCGTGATCCTCTCAATTTGGAAAACCTGATTGTGTGTTATTTTTAGGTCTGATGAAATTGTCTCCTTTAAATGAAACAAATGTCTTGTAGTAATTCCCTGATACCCTGTTAAAAAAAAAAAAGTTTCTAATTAGTGCATTTTTAATAACTTTATCTCTCTTCTAACTGCCTTTAGTGGCCTATTTATGCCACGCAGACCTCCTTGACTGAAGTTAAGAAGAAAGCAGGTTTTAGACTGTTCTTAAGCTCTGTAGTTGGAAATTTCACTCATCTTTGTCAGATAAATGAACAGCTCGTTGTTATAGCAATTTTAGCTGTTACTTTCCCTCATGATATGCAGGAAATGTAGAAGGGACATTTACCAACAGGGATTTGGAGTGTGGTTGTCAAATACTTTTTATAACGTAGGAAATTCTAGGAACTACCTGTTTCTTTAGTGCTCTTTCCAGCAGGGACTCGCAAAACTGTTATCTTCTGCTCCTCAAGGGTTTTGGCGAAGCTGTTGACTGCAAATGCAGGGTGATACAGAAGAGCATGGACAGCACTGATACAGACAGAGGTAAAAATGAGCCTTTTACAGAGCTCTGGGCATCTTCAGAGGCTGCCAGGGTGGCTGTCAGAAAGCCCTGTTTTTAAGGAGTCCTTAGCAGAACAACCTCCTGGGGTGTGACCAGTGCTTGCAGGCCAGCAGGACTGTCCCTGTTTTGCCCCGTGAGAGGTAGTGGACACAAACTGAAGCCCAGGAGGTTCTGGTTCCATATGAGGGGCACTTCTGTACTGTGAGGTGACAGAGCACTGGCACAGGGTGCCCAGAGAGGTTGTGGGGTCTCCTTCTCTGGAGATATCCCAAACCTGCCAGGCTGCTATCCTGCACAACGTGCTCTAGGTGATCCTGCTCGGCAGGGGTTGGACTGGGTGATCTCCAGAGGCCCCTTCCAACCTCGGCTGTTCTGTGACTCTGCAAATGACTTTGCCTGAGACAAGATCTTAGCAGTGGCAGCGTGCCTGTGGAAGAGCTCCTGGGCTGTGAGGTGATCCCAGAGCACCGGGCTTGAGTGGGGGTTGTGCTGTGTGAGGCAGCTGCCCTCAGTCACATTCCTAGCTGCTCTTTTGGAGGTGTGCACAGCAACAGGTGAGAGAGTAGACGATCTCCTGGTCACTGCCTTATCAGTATGCTAGCAAAATTTTATATATATACTTAAACTAATTATGTTTTTCCATGCATTAAATAGGCAGTGAAGTGCTTTTGCATATCTATACAATATACATGCTAATTAGGTGGTATGAGCTATCTTAGGGGATGGTCGATAGACTCCACAGTAGATCTTTTGGCTGTGGCGCTTAATGTGTAAGATAACAGTTTATTTGTTCATTTTTGTTACAAAGTTTTCTTCTCCCTCATCTTTCTCTCTCGTGTGTTACTTTGAAGCCCAACGAGACTGGGCCCTGTGCTGTGTGCCTTACCTAGAAGCAGTGCTGTAGAGAAGCTGAAAAGGGAGAGTTTTCTCCACGAAGAGTCGCAGGAGACCTGCCCTGGTTCAGCAGGTAGCAGTGCTGTCATGGGGACTGCACTTAAAGGAAGATTAATTTATCTTTTACAGTGGTATCAGGGCTTGAGAGAACTGAGCACGAATTCTCTCTGCTGAATTGGCTGGGTTTGCTTTTACTCTTACAGCTGTGTGTCCCAGCTACTCCCGAAGAGTCTGAGCTCTTCGAGAATGGATCTGGCATTTCTTGATTCAGCTATTAGGTCTGTGTGCTCTGGAGCAAAATGATCTGTCTGTCTCCCTGCTAGTTACCCCATGCACTGCAAGAAGTATCTGTGGATTCATTGATGTCCTGTTGTCCCATAGCGATTTGTGTTGCGTGCAGATCTGAGCTGCTCTATTTTTTTTGTGATAATTGCTTGCTTTCTGACAGCATGGAAAGATTTCTGTAATGTCTAGCAAAGAGATCTTGGTTGTTGTCTTCTCAGGAGATCTCCTGGTGTTAATTGGGTTCTTTAACCAGGTGGCTTTTTTTTTTTTTTTTTTTTTTTTTTTTTACAAAATAAGAGGCCTCTCTGATTGTTATGTTTCTGAACATCCTCTTCCCCCCCCGCCCCCCAAATTATTATTATTATTTTAATAACTATTGCAATATCAGCTTTCTTGTAAGTGCTGAGAAGTTACCTTCCTTTCAGCCCATGTGGGAAGGAGTTGTGTTGACAGATGTGAGCTCTGTGAGGATTTGCTGAGCTCTTAATCCTGTTTGTGGCTAATAACCACGCTAATGTGGAAGGGCATCTTTCAGTGTATAAAGGTCTTAACTGCTGCTACCTTGGGGAAAGGTGCTGTTAAAATCCTGTAAGTGTCTTAGCAGGAATGGCAGTCCCAGAGGTTGTCGGTGTAAACCTCTGCAACAGTGCAGGCCTCCACCCCTACCTTTTTATTTTTTATTTTATTTTTTTGTGAGAGAGAATTTTACTTGTTAAGACAAAGCCTGAAATAATTGCTGTAGGCAGTAGAGGAAGGAGGCTCTGCACACTGGATGTGGCAGACAGCCAGAGATGGATATTTGTGAGCCCTTTAGGCACACGTGTATCTTGAGGGGATGAGAATGTGTGATAATATTCTCTTTGTTGTCTTTTGCCCTACCCCTGGTTTGGTCTCAGGGTTTTTTATTCTTCTCCATCCTGCTCTGTTTGATTTCTTGCACAGTGTTTTCAGTTGCAAAGAAGTTGGTCGCTTCTTTCTCCCTTTAAAAGGTGAGCTCTTTGCTTTTAGATGTCAACGTGACTGGAAGTTTCTGGCCACCTGTTATCATTAGAAATCTTGGAGAATTTCTTGAAGCACAGGGCATGCCCTGATTGAATTGTTCTGTGTTAAAGTTCTGAAGGGCTAAGCATAATTTTAAGTATATTAGCAACTTGGCAGAAGCTTCCCTGCCTGGTCCATCAGTATGCTGGTCGAAACCCAAGCTAAATAAATACTCTGCACTGATAGCATGTTCCCTGCAATTCTGTGTGAGAGCAGAAGACACCACTGTCCACCCTGTGTAATTATTACGTGCTGTTAAAGCACCTTTACTGGGGCCAAAGGAGTTTTGTGTAGTTAACTGGTGATGCTCCTAGGGGCCGAAAGGCTTTCGAGCAAAGTAACCTTTTCCTTGTTGCTAATTTGCAATATTAAAGACACGTGCAAGATAATGAGTGACTTTAGTTCTCTGCTGAAACCAAATGGTTGATGAAACCAGGACTAGGTGCATACATGGAAGACCAAGGGTGATTTGTGGCACTGCTCTACAATGTGTGAGAAGCTCATTTTTTTGGTTTCTTTTGAGTAGAGGTAGCTAACAGTGCCAAAAATACCTTTATTTTTGCCTTTATATCAAGCACTCACTATAATAGCTGCAAGGGAAGGCTTCTGTGACCGTAATGTATTCCTTCTCTAACCGGCTTATAAAAATTGGACAAAATAATAGGGAGACTCAGTGGAAGTGTCAATCTTGAGGAGCTCTCCTTTTCTTTAAACAGGTGGTAATGATAATGCTGGGCTTTTCTCCATCCTTCACAGCTGCCTGTGGACTTCCTGAGGTGAAGGGGTTTAAGAAAGGGCTCTGCATGCAGGTAGAGTGAGCGGGCTCTGGCCCACTCAGGTGGGTATTGGCTACTAGAGAATTATGGCAGAAGGTGAGGAGACAAAAGCCCAAGGTTTTGTGAAGTGGCCAAACCTGTGGTGGAAGAAATGCTGAAACTCATTATCAGACTCATCAGTGCTTGGGAGCTGGGCTGGAACGTTAACCCGGGACTATTGCCTTAAGCCTCAGTGCCAGCTAGCCTCTTATCTGCTCCCTTTCACAATTTTTAGTTTATCTCCTGTTTGGATTGCACATGTTTGCCATTAGACTTTTTTCTAATGATCCTTTTCTTTGCACTCCAGTTATCTCTGTATTTCTTCCCTTTTTACCCCCAGCTGTTTTTTTGTCACTTTGTCTAATATTTTTGTCGTATCGTTAGATTTTTTTTCCCTCCCTCTGTGTCTCCCTCCCACAATGTTGTTTACATTGGTTCTTCCTTTACTTTCATCTTCTTATATTTTTATCCTTTTAACTCTCATCCTTAGAGGAGCCAGTTTTACTTTTGGAGACCAGCCCTTTTGTATTGATT